CGCTGCAAATGACTTTCCAGTGGTTGCGACTGTCGTCTGCCGAACTTGAAGGGTCAACACATCCCCTGGCTTCAGGCCAGCTTCGTCAACGGTCTGTTCTACATCCAGGATGTCTCCCTTGGAAATCAGGAGGACTCCTCGCCCGGTAGCTTGCAGATCGTTCTGCGCTTGCAGCCGAATTCACTTCAAAAGCGAGTCGCCGTTGACTGCAATCTGCGTTGTTCTTCCGCTAAGGAGGGTCACATGGACGCAAGCGTAGAACGTGGGGGGGGTTTACGATATTTGGGGTGCCATATTAGGGTCCTTATTATAAGCATGAGAAAGGCAAGGCCCAATCTACCTGTGATGAAACCGCGGTCATCAACCCTAAACCTCTATAGTTGTAAACCCTAACTACCTCATTACCTAGAAACCCTAGATCCCCAAACCCTAAACCCTAAATGCCCGCGAGCCTTCATCTGGCGGTAGGCTTGCACCAGGAATCTTTGGCCTCCATCGGCAAAAGCCGAAACCCTAGGGTCTAGGCTTTAGGGTTTAGGATTTAGGGTTTCGAATTTCCCCTTTAAAAATCTGGTGGGCCCTTTGAACCGGGAACCCGTACCCCAACCCCCCCCGAGTGGAGGTCTACGGTAGGGGTCGGAAGAAGCACAAATTGCATTCCCTTTGTGGTACCCCTATGGAATTTTGCGATATTAGGGGGGGGTACCTTCTTGGAGACCTGATTCTAAGGGGATCCTACTATGTGGGTGTCTGTATTGGGGGTCCCGTATTTTCGTGAACCCCATACAATGAAACTAGAATAGCCCCCAAAACATTATTCTGATTCTTAAGGCCCCTATAGTACCGAGAGACCTCAGCAAGGTAGTAACGCCCGATACCAGTACCACCTACACTTGAAACCCTAAACCCTCAACACTTGAAACCCTAAACCCTGAAACGTAAAACCCGAAACCCAGCACCAACCCCAAACTCCGAACGCATGAAACCTTGCACGGCGCAGAGACCCCAAAAGAGTATAAACCCCCTGAACCCGTGGCCTGTGTGCACCAAGGCATTCATCTCATCCCGGGCCGGGCCAAGGACGCCCCCGTTGCCTGGTATCCCAGGCGCTTGCGTGGTTCGCAAGAAGTCCTCGGCTGCAAGGCTTTGCAGGATTTTTACCGGGCTAATGGGGTCTATGCTGACAAAGGCTTATAGGGCTAACGCAGGTGTCTAACGTTTTCTATGCAACCCCCCGTGTAATGTAGGGAGATACAAGAACAGGGTTGAAATGTCTGGTCTTGTAGGGTTTCGGTCAGGCGTCCAAGCCAAAGGCTTTTGCGCCGACGTATGGATTCGGGTACCAAGCAGCAGCAAGAATCGTCGACCCCGAAACTAAACAGTTCGGTCCCAGCGTCCGCCTCAGCAAACAGCAGGGCAGCGCGTTCCACGCTTGAGAGGGTTGGACCTCAATGCAACGTGGGTTTAGGGTTTAGGGTTTAGGTTTTAGGTTTTAGGGTTTAGTTTAGGGTTTAGGGTTTATGGTTTAGGGCTTAGGGTTTAGAGTTTAGGGTTTAGGGTTTAGGGCGCGAGCAGCGGCCGCTTTGCCAGTCCACATCTGCATGGGCATGACTCTACTAAGACATGTTCTTAACACCTCCTGTCAAGACCTATACCGAGTCACGACCCCCTCACATCCTTCCCCCAGAGCCGAAGACAGAAACTTCACGGTCCCAAGGAGCTGTCTGTGCTTCCGCCCTTCATAAACAGCGCCCGCGGCGACGTCTGCGGTGCATCAGAAGACAAATGCTCATGCAACGCGTCCAGGAGCGGCTGTCCTTGCGTCTCTGCCACACATGTGCCAAGGGCATGGTAAGACATGCGCCTTCATGAAACAGTCCTTTGTTCATGTGGTCGGTGTGCCCTGCAATGAAGATCCCCAAGGCCCCAATGTTGAGAATGCTGAGTACATCATCCGGCTCCTACCTAATATCCAAAATCAGGCAACTAAAGCCGCAGCAGTAAAATGTGCGACTCACATCCGCAAGCCTTGAGTCCGAAAAACCCTGGAATCCTAAATCTTGAGCCCTAAACCCTAAAACTCTAAACCCTTAATCCCGAAACCCGAGCAGACGAGGGTCGCTTGCGAACTGGCATCCCTGCCATCCGCAGCATCTCGGGGAACTTCTCCTGCGCTTTAGCGGTTGAAGGTTTAGGGTTTAGGGCTTAGGGCTTAGGGCTGAGGGCTTAGGGCTTAGGGTTTAGGGTTTAGGGTTTAGGGTGAAGCTCAAGACACACAGACACACCTTAGCAGCTCTGTAACCATGTTATGGGGTTGGTTTCTTTATAAGGGAAGCACTGGGATTCCAAAACACACTGAGACGTGCACACGCACACTTTTTTGAGCACAAGCCTTCTAAAGGCTACAGGCAACTTGGGGGGTTCCGAAATTATAGGGGCACCTTCCCCCAATACTCTTTGGGGGATTTATTCAGTCCCTTCTTTTCGTAAACCTCCATTT